AGCACTGTAAAGTGCAGTGACTGTGTGTTTTGTGGGTGAGAAAGAGGACAGGGAGAGTGTGAGAGAATGTATGAGAGATAATAATTGTGGCGTTTGACCCGGAGCCTTATCACGTCGTCGAGACGTCTCAAAGCACTTCACAGGATACACTGTGAAGGCTCTCCGCCAATTAACTAACAACCAGGTTTCTACTTCCCCTGAAGGGCGATATATAAATATATATAAACAAGTTGTTGTTATTGCTGTTCAGTGTAAACAGCTCACACCGAAATATCACTGATGCTTCACATTCACAGAACAAAAGTCTTGTCTCTTGTTAAACCAAACACTGAAGCTTTAATTATTTCGGTTTTATTAACGCGCATTAAATACATTTAATTTAAGCCATGATTGACAGGTTCGCACGTGCAAAGCGATTTTTGTTTCGTCCTCACATCAAGTGTGCAATCCTCGAGGTGTGTGACTGAGCTCAATCTGGTTGTGTTAGGAATACAGGTACAGGAGGAGGCCATTCAGCCCTTCGAGCCTGGTCTGCCATTCTATAAGATCAAGGCTGATCTGTACCTCAACTCCAATTACCCAGCACATACCTACTCCTTGATCCCCTGACCTAACAACCATCTCCGCACCTCCAGTCTGGACAATGTGAACGGATTCACAGCCATAATCCACAGCCTTTTAGGGGAGAGCGAGAGAGAAAATTCCAGATTTCCACTCCTCTTTGGTAAAAATTGCGCCCGATTTCACCCCTAAAACTGGCCCTGGCTCTGATTATAAGATTATTTTGTGGGCGAGACGCGGCAGCCAATTGCGCCCAGTGACGTCCCCACGAACAGTCATAGATTGAGTAACCAAATTGTTGTTTTTTTAATTAAATAATGTGCTTTTTTTTGGAGGGAGCAGGGGAAAGGGGTTAGAGGGGAGAACAACAGTGTGGGGGGAGTGAGCACCAATATAGACACGATGGGGGGGAAAGAGAAAGCAAGAGAAAGGGGTTAGAGGAGAGAGCGACAGTGTGGGGCGAATGAGCACTAATATAGATGCAATGGGGGAGAGAGGGAGAGGGAGCGAGGGAGGGAGGGAGGAGGTGGATGGAGAGAGCAAGAGAGAGAGCGAGAAAGAAAGCGGGGAAATGGGGTTAGAGAGAGCTTCATTGTGGGGGGAGTGAACACCATTATACACATGATGTGGGGGGCGAGAGAGAGGGGGAGGAAGGGAGGGAGCGAGAGAGAGCGAAAACAGGGAATGGGGTTAGAGGAGAGAGAGAACAGGGGAATGGGGGTAGAGGTGAGAGCATCAGTGTGGAGGGGGGGAGCAGCAATACAGAGGAAAGAGAGCAAGAGAGAGAGTCAGTGGGGGGGGAACGAGGCACCAATATAGACATGATGGGGGAAGAAAGCGAGAGAGAGAGAGCAGGGGAATGGGGTTAGAGGAGAGAGGGTCAATGAGGGGGGAGGGAGCACCAGTATGGGGGGGGGGGGAAGAGAGTGAGTGAGGGGGAGCGAGCACCAGTATAGGGGGGAGAGAGAGAGTGTTATTATATTATTATTATTAGAGGGGAGCGAGCACCAGTATAGGGGGGAGAGAGAGAGAGTGTTATTATTATTATTATTATTATTAGAGTGTTTGTGAGGGGGAGCGAGCACCAGTAGTGGGAGGGGGGGGGGAAGAGAGCATCAGTGAGGGGGGAGTGAGCACCAGTTAAGGGGGGAGAGAGAGCGTTAGTGTGGAGGGAGCGAGCACCAGTATGGGGGGGGGAAGAGGGAGCATTAGTGTCGGGGGAGTGACCACCAGCATAGGGGAGGGGGAAGCAAGAGAGAGAGCGGAGAAGCGTTAGTGTGGGGAGAGGAGCATCAGTAGTGGGGGGAGAGAGAGAGGGCGTTAGTTTGTGGGGGGGTGGAGTGAGCACCAACATAAGCATAAATGGCCTAAAGGCTTCTTTCTACTGTAAACTCTCTAAAGTGACGTACGTTTTACTCGATACCAACGGAACGAGTCAGAGATGAAGTTGAGGACAATATTAGGAATCACATCTCACTTCCTATTGAGGAAAGAGAAGTCCAAAATGGCTGATAATCTCCGCCGTCTCCTCTTACATCATCGGTGGTGACGCAGGGACCGAATTACACAAGTTATATTCAATTTGCCGGTAAATTGCAAAAGCTGGAAGCTTTCTCGCTCGCTTGAGTTCCTGAGGAGAAACAGTAAAATCGATTGTTAATTTAGTTACTAACTTAACTACTAACTTAACTACTTAACCATCGATGGCTGTGCCTTCCTAATAATCCTTAATAATAATAAAAATCATTGCCTTGGATACAGCGCCTTATCACGTCTTCGAGACGTCTCGAAAGTGTAGTGACTGTGTATTTTGCGGGCGAAACCTGGCAGTCAATTTGCACACAGCGGCGTCCCACAAACAGTCGGGAATTGAAGTGACGAAATTATTAGTATTTTGGTTTTGAAGGGATTATTACCACTGGAAAAGCGATGCGCCGGTCGACTCACAACCGGGTTCCTACGTACCGTTAGGTAAGCAGAGGCGTGTGGCGTAAGGAAACTTGCCCAACATTTCTCTCTGCCGGGAACAGAACCGAGGTCTCTCGCTTGCGAGACCAGTTCTCTAACCACTGAGCTACTGGACCCCACCTACAATATTGTGAGTAAAATTTGTATTGAGATTTTAAAATGATTTCTCTTTTTTTTTACCTGTTTTTGTTTGAGGAGGAACTGTATTATATTTCTGCATCTGTGAATTACAAACAGAACATTGATATAATTTTGGATAATACAGTTAAAATGATCTTATATTTTACAGCGTGAGACTCCGCTTAAGACAGCAGCAAGTACCAGCGTATAAATAATAAATAATAATAATCCTTGCGTTTGATAGAGCGCCTTATCACATCTTCGACACGTCTCAAAGAGCTTCACAGGATATTCTATAAAGTATAGTGACTATATTTTGCGGGTGGAACGCGGCAGCCAGCGCCGTCCCCACAAACATTCGCAGATTGAGTGACCAAATTGTTATTTTTTTAAAGGATTCTTATTCTTACCCTTAGAAAGATGATCCCCAATCGACTAACAAGCGAGTTCTTACTTACTGCTGGTAAACAGAGGCGTGTGATGTGTGTGTGTGTGTGTGAAATAAACTTGTCTAATGTTTCGCCCTGGCCTGATCTGCCCGGGAATCAAACCTGGATCCTCTCGCTTGCTCTAACCCCTGAGCTACAGGACTGAACACTCTGTCCATGTTTCTCATTACGTGCCTGAAGTTGTGGGCTTAGATTTGTGTAGCGACTGTATATTTTGTGGGCAAAACGCGACAGCCAATTGCGCGCAGCAGTGTCCCACAAACCGTCATGGGTTGAAGTGACCAAATTCTTATTTTTTTTAATTTAATTTAATTTTTTCATCATTACATACCTGCAGTTTTGGGCTTAGATTTGTCCACTTTAGCGTATAAATCCTGAGGATCTGCAGGATAAGAAACGTTGGCGATTAGGTTGAGATAAAAATTTGGAAGGAATTTAGGAGGAACCAGATTCAAATCAAATGGCAGAACAAATCTGCGATTCCCTTAAGGCTGTGGTAAGGAGAGGCTCTACAATACCACACAACGCAATGACATTTACAAACACAGCCTTTCACATCAGGAGGACGTCCCAAGGCGCTGGACGGTCAGTTGGCTCCGATCTGGGGGTTGGGATCAGGAGGGTGGAGGCGGGGAGGGTGGGGGATAGGAGGGTAACCACCGGTGCGGTTGGTCAAAGAGGAGGATTTTGACACAGGTCTTGAAGGAGACGGGGGGGGGGGGGGGGGGAGGGGGGGGGGGGCCGAGGGACTGTGGGATGGACTTCCAGAGGGTGGGGGAATGTGGAGCAGTCCGGAGCCCGCTGAGCGGGGGGAGTGGACAGGTTGATACGGGTTTAGCAGATCACAGGGGTAAAGTGTAGTGACTGTGTATTTTGTGGGTGAAGCATGGCAACCAGTTGCACACAGCGACGTCTCCACAAACAGTCGTTGATTGAGAGATCACATTATTATCAGGAGTTTATTGGAAGGAATTATTATCCCAGAAAATGATTCACCCATTGACTAACAAGTGGGTTGTTACTTACTGCTGGTAAACAAAGGTGTGTGTGTGTGTTTATGTCTGTGTGTGTATGTCTGTGTGGGGTGGGGTTGGGCGAGTTGGGGAGTAAGGAAACTTGCCTAAGGGTTCGCCCTGTCCCGTCCCACCCGGGGAATCGAACCCGGGTCCTCTCGCTTGGGTCGAACCCTTGAGCTCGGAATTACACATAACAAGGTACCGTGTTATAAGGGCAAAGGTGGAGTGTAAAAAGGCTAAGGGTGGAAACCAGGAAGTATACTTTGGACGGAGCAATCGCTCGCTCCAATCGGTTACTATGGTGGGTCCTAAGACCAGATCAATATTTACAAGCAATTCTTTGGGGACTTTGACCTCACATTCCAGACTGTATTACATTGATGTGGGTGCACTGTATTTATATTCAGAGGCAAAGGCAGACATTAAACTGAGGTCCAATCTGCATATTTAGGCAAATTTCTTTACTCCACACACACACACAGACAGACAGACACATACACAGAGACAGACATACACATACACACAGACAGACAGACACACACACACACACACACACAGACAGACACACACACACACACAGACAGACACACACACACACACAGACAGACAGACACCCGCCTCTGTTCACCAGCAGTAAGTAGGAACCCACTTGTTGGTCGAATAGCGGATCACTTTTCCGGGGGTAATAATTCCTTCCAAAAAGAATGATAATAATTTGGTCACTTGAATCCACGACCGATGGTGGGGACATTGTTGTGCGCAATTGGATGCCACGTTTCGCCCGCAAAATATACAGTCACTACACTTTGGAATATATTCTGTGAAGTGCTTTTAGACGTCTCAAAGGCGTGATAAGACGCTATATCAAATGCAAGTCTTATTATTATGTTCAACCATAGCATCGTAGAGATGTCTTAAAGAACTTCACAGAATATACTGTAGTGTAGTGACTATATTTAGTGGGCGAAATGCAGCAGCCAGTTGTGCACAGCAGTGTCCCATTTGATATAGTGCCTTATCACATCTTCGAGACGTCTCAAAGTGCTTCAAAAAATATACTGCTAAGTGTAGTGACTGTGTATTTTGTGGGCCAAAGGCGGCAGCCAATTGCGCACAGCAGTGTCCCACAAACAGTTGTGGGTTGAGTGACCAAATTTTTTTTAGTTTCATTTAATTTTTTAATCATTACGTACCTGCAGGTGTGGGCTTGGATTTGTTGACTTTAGCGTATAAATCCTGAGGATCTGTAGGATGAGAACATTGGCGATTAAATTGAGTTAAGATTTTAGGAGGAATTTAAGAGGAACTTCTTCACTCGTTACCTGAAGGAATGATTAAAGCAGAAAGTAGATAGAAGCTCTGTCAGACGAGTCCTGTAGCTCAGTGGTTACAGCACTCGGCTCACAAGCGAGAGGACCTGGGATCAATTCTCGGGAGGGACACGGAGAAATGTTGGGTAAGTTTCCTTACTCCACGCACATGCCTCTGTCGACCAGCGGTAAGTAGGAACCTGTCGATTGACAGATCGCTTTCTCAGGGTAATAATTCCTTCAAATTGTTTGTTTTTAAAAAATAATAATAAAAAAATAGACCCTTCAATGCACAACTTTTGTGGGATGTCGCTGTGTGCAATTGGCTGCCGCATTTCGCCCACAAAATACACAGTCACTACACTTAATACAGTCACTACACAATACAATCCTTGCATTCGACGTCTTCAAGACGTCTCAAAGCGCTTCACACAATATACTGTACTGTATGGCTGTATGTTTTGTGGGTGAAACGCAGCAGCCAATTGCACACAGCGACGTCCCACAAACAGCCGTGGATTGAATGACCAAATTATTATTACTATTTTTTTGAAGGAATTATTATTACTCCTGGAAAAGCAATCCCCCAACAGACTAACAACCGGGTTCCTACTTACTGCTGGATAAACAGAGGCACGTGCGTGCGTGTGGAGTAAGGAAACTTGCCCAACGTTTCGCCCTGCCCGGGGAATCGAACCCAGATCTCTCGCTTGTGAGGCGAAGGCTTTACAACAACAACAACTTGGATTTGTATAGCACCCTCCATGCTGGACGGCGTCTCAGAGCCCTTTACAGTAACGGATCCCGGGGCTGAGCCGGGGGGAGGGTGGGGAAAAGGTGACCAAAGGCGCGGTCGAAAAGAAAGGTCTTCAGCAGAGACCTGAAAATGGAAGGAGGGAACGAGGCGAAGGGATAGTGGCTGAACGCACGGCCGCCGAGGGTGGAGCGGGGGACGAGGTACACTGAGCTGCAGTTTTTGTAACCTGGCCTCATAATTCAACCCTTTAAACCCGGGTATAATTCTGGTGAATCAGCACCGCACTCCTCCATGGCCAATACATCCTTCTTCAAGGTTCCTGTATGACACTACTGTACACAAACATATAGCGTGAGTTCAGAGCAGAGCGAGGAAAACCCCTTTTATTTAGGGAAGTACATTTTTTAGACAGAGCAATCAGGCAAGTCTAGTAAGCTTTCTAAACTGTATGTTGAGCCAAACTCACTTTCTTATCAACAATTCTTAATACCTTCCTTATTATTTAGTCCCTGTTAGGAGGCAAAAGGTTGTGGAATTTGACCTTGTAGTCCAGGCTGACACAGCAATGCACTGATGGGAGGTGCACTGTGTTGTCAGAAACATTATTTTGTTTTTAACTAACATGCTAAACTGAGGTCCTGTCTGTATGTTTAGGTGGACAATAATAATAACTTATTATAATAATAATAATCTTTGCACTTGATATCGAGCTTTATCACATCTTCGAGACGTCTCAAAGCGCTTCACAGGATACACTGTATATTTTGTGGGCGAAACGTGGCAGCCAAATGCACACACGCGGTGTCCACAAACAGTCGTGGGTTGAGGGACCAATTTTTGGGGTTTTGAACGGTTTATGAACCCTCGGAAAAGCGATCTGCCAATCAACTAACAAGCGGGTTCCTACTTATTGCTGGGTAACAGAGGCGTGTGTGTGTGTGTGTGTGTGTCTCTGTGTGTGTGTCTCGAGTAAGGAAACTTGCCTAAGATTTTGCCCTGACCTGACCCCACCCGGGAATCGAACCCGGGTCCTCTCGCTTGCGAGGCGAGGGGTCTAACCACTGAGCTACATGGCTCCACAGAACACTCTGTCCGTGTTAATCGTGACATACCTGCAGTTGTCGGCTTAGATTGTCCACTTTAGCATATAAATCCTGAGAATCTGTAGGATGAGAACATTGGCGATTAGGTTGAGTTAGGAGCCACTTGTTCACGCAGAGAGCGGTTCCACCCTGACCCGCCCGGGAATCGAACCCGGGTCTCTCGCTTGCGAGGCGATGGCTCTAACCACTGAGCTACAGGACTCCAGGTAGGGAGGTGCCTGGCGAGGAATGGGTAATGGGGGTTGAGGAGTTTGGTTCACTTAAGGAAATGGGGGTGTGCGTGTGGAGGGGGAGTTCTGACTCAGTTGGATTACTCTTACCTGTTGTTTTAAGTGGATTTGATTTGTCGACTTGTGCATAAAAATCCTGAGGATCTGCAGAAATAATAATAATAATAATCCTTCTGGTTGATATTTCCCGTAGCAGAAAGGAAACTTGCCCAACATTTCTCCCTGACCGGGAATCAAACCCAGGTCTCTCACTTGCGAGCCGAGTGCTCTAACTACCGAGGTACAAGACTTAATAATAATATTTCTTGTATTTGATATCGTGCCTTATCACGTCTTCGAGATGCTCAAAGACCTTCACAGAATATACTGTAGCAGAGAGAATATATTGACAGACAGACAGACAGACAGACAGAAACACGGAGGAGAGATGTATAGATAGCTTTGTTAGCTGTACAATATTAATCTGGATTTACCATAGGTTTTGTTTTCAATGGCCTCTGTGCTGTGTATGTCGAAGGCTGCTGAACAGAACAAATGATTGAAGCAAAACACAAACTATGTGAGTAGCAACAGACAGACAAATAATAATAATAAAATTATAATCATAATCCTTGTATTTGCTATATTATCATTTCTTTGAGACGTCTCAAAGTACTTCGCAGGATACACTGTAAATTGTAGTGACTATTTTGTGGGCGAAACGTGGCAGCCGATTGCGCCAAGCGACATCCCACACAAACAGCCGTGGATTGAAGCAACCAAATTATTATTATTTTTTGGAGGGATTATTACCCCCTGGAAAAGTGATCCACCAATCGACTAACAAGCGGGTTACTGCTCAGTAAACAGAGCCGTGTGTTTGTGTGTGTGGAGTAAGGAAACTTGCCTAAAAAATTATCGTGCGGCAGTTAGCAAGGAGTTGGAGGGACTGCAGGAAGCAGGGCTGAGTCGGATGTAAGAGACAAGTTAGACGATGGACAGGGTAAACGGACTGAGATGTATACAGACAGATACTATACAATTTTGGTCCAGACTTACCATTGGTTTCAGTGCTGTGAAGGTCCGAAACATCTAACAGGAAAATAATATGATAATAATAATCCTTGCATTTTATACAGCGCCGTATCACATCGTCCAGACGTCTCAAAACGCTTCACAATAAAGTAAATTGACCATATATTTTGTGAGTGAGCCCAGGTCCTCTCGCTTGAGAGGCGAGTGCTCTAACCACTAAGCTACAAGACCCCTCCAGAATATACTGTAAAGTGTAGTGACTGCATTTTTGTGGGCAAAGGTGGCAGCCAATTGCGCACAGCGATGTCCCACAAACAGTCGTGGACTGAGTGACCAATTTATTATATTTTTTTAAGGGATTATTATACCCGGAAAAATTATCCGCCAATCAACCAACAAGGGTGCCGACTTACTGTTGGTAAATAGAGGTGTCTGTGTGTGTGGTGGAGTAAGGAAACTTGCCTCAGGCTTCACCCTGTCCCGCCTGGGAATCGAACCACAGGTCCTCTCGCTTGCGAGGCGAGTGTTCCAACCGATACGCTACAGGGCTCCACAAATTGCATTTGATATAAGCCGTCAAATATATATATACTTATATATTTCAAACAATCTCCTGACACTTACCTCGCTTCCTTTTCCTATAGAGGAAAACCAGAAGCACTGATACGATGATCACGAGTGCACATACTCCGATTGTCACTCCAACTATCAGTCCAACATTGACTACAAACAGAAAAGAAAGGTTATTTGTCATTTTAGAGCAGAGTAGTCCAACTGCGGCCCAGGGGCCACATCCGGCCCCTACTTACCTCCTTCCATCTCCTGGGTTTGGTTTCTGGGCGGGTCAAAATATTGGCCATTTTCCTTACTCCACACACACGGTTTTCTATAATAATCCTTAAATTTGATATAGTGCCTTTTCACATCCCAAAGTGCTGCACAGGATATACTGTAAGGTGTAATGACTGTTTACTTTGGGGGTGAAACGCGGCAGCCAATTGAGCACAGCGACGTCCCACAAACAGTCATGGATTGAAGTGACCAATTTCTTCTTATTCTTTTTTAAAAAATGTTTTGAGGGATTTCTACACCCAGAAAGCGATCCGCCAATCGACTAACAAGTGGGTTCCGACTTACTGCTGGTAAACAGAAACGTGTGTGTGTGTGGTGTGGAGTAAGGAAACTGCCCAACATTTCGCCCTGACCTGACCAGCCTCACTTGCGAGGCGAGGACTCTAACGACTGAGCTACAGGGACTCCACTACAATAAGTGTAGGTGTCTGTGTGTTTGTGAGTGTATGTGTGTGTGTGTGCATCTGTGTGTTGGTGTCGACATACCATAACTTACCTTCGTCTTTCAAAGTCACGTCAAATTGGAATAAGTTCTCTCCCACTGCGTTAGTGACACGGCATTGATATGTGCCCTGATCGGTTGCCTGGAATTTACTGATGAGCAGTTTAGAGAAGGTCGGTCCTGAGGTGATGATGAACTTGTCGTCAGAGCCAGTGATGGAGTTGCCTTCCTTCGACCATGTAAAGTGTGCGGGCAGCAGGCCAGGGTCTGACACCCGCACTGTGTCTGTCAGTGACACGTCTAAGGTCACATCTGCTTCCTTCCCCACTTCCACCTGAGGCTCAGACCCTGACGCTCTCTGGGGTTTATCTGTGTAACAGCACAGACGGCGTTCAGCAAAACAGCAACACAGTCACCCCAACAGTCAGTAGGAATAATAATAATCCTCCCGTTTGATACAGCGCCTTATCACGCCATCGAGACGTCTCAAACCCCATCTAAAGACCTTCCTCTTTGACCAATCGCACCTTCAGCCACCCTCCCAACCCCCAACCCACCCCCCTGCCCTCCACCCCTCCTGACCCCAACTCCCAGCTCAGGTCCAAAAACCCAGACTGTGCAGCATCCCGGGACGTGTTTGCGACGTGAAGAGCGCTATACAAGTGTAATTTGTCATCGTTGTTGTTGTTCAGCCCTCAAGTCCTCACCAATGACTATAGAGCATTGACTGTCAGAGACAACATGGCGTCCAACACATGTGAAGATCTCTCGGGAGCTGAGCTGATCCTTTGTGATGGTGACATTCCCCTCGTTTGTCCCATTGACAATCATCTGTCCGACCTTCAGCTGAAGGACAGAGTCTGGCACCCCACCAGCCCAGGAGCACATCAACACCAATGCTGTTCCTTTATCTGCTGCTCCGCATGTGATCTGCTGTGTGGGAGTCCCTTGAACAAGGCAAAGACAAACAGTCCAGTTATTGGCTCCACCTTGAGTTGTCCCCACCCTCGCCCGGCTCCACTGGCTCCCATCCCTCAGAGGATACTGTTCAAGATCCTGGTGCTCAGCTTTAAAGCCCTCCATGGCCTCACTCCTCTGTCCCTACCTCTGTGACCTCCTAACCCTCGACCAACCTGTCCGCTCCCTCAGCTCAGTGGACTCTGGCCTGCTCCATGTCTTCCATCTGGCCTGCCCCACCATCGGCGATCGGACCTTCAGCCTCTCTGCCCCAATCCACGACTGTTTGTGGGACACTCCTGTGTGCAATTGGCTGAAGTGTCACCCACAAAATAAACCGGCAATTCACTTTACAGTATATCCTGTGAAGCGATTTGAGACGTTTCAAGGACGTAATATTTTTTAACAGCTTTATCTACCTGTCCTGCCACCTGTCTTCCTCGCAAAATGCATCAATTCGCATTTATCCACATTAAACGTCATCTACCACGTGTCTGCCTGTGTTACCAGTCTGTCTATGTCCTCTTGCAGTCTGTTACTAACCTCCTCACTATTTACTACTTTTCCAGCCTAGTATCATGTGTGTGGCTCCTGATCTCACACACACTAAACTCTGTACCCCCAGTCCTGCCCAGGCTCCAAACTTGGAATTTGCCAAGGCTGCAGACGTGGAAATTGTGCTCCCTATACCCAAGGCCATCTTAAAGACCTATCTCAAGGCCCTCCTCTTCGACCGACCATGCCTTCAGTCATCCTCCTATCCCGACCCTCCCCACCCTCCACCCCTCCTGATCCCAATCCACAGCTCGGGTGCAGATCCCTGACTGTCCTCCTGACGTGAAAACCACTGTGTAAATGTCATGTATTGTTTACACAGTGCCAATTTTGACTGAGATCTAACTCACTGTACACGAGGATTGAAACCTTCTCCGTGCGGCTAATCGTGGTGTAATCATTCTTCACATTGCAAGTGTAATCCCCGCTGTTGTTGAACGTGAGGCTCTCTATAGGCAGCTGTGAGGTGTTGCCGGCAATGACCGCGGTGTTATGTGTCCACCTGTAGTTACACTCTGGGAAACATTTCGTCTGACAGTTGAGGGTCATCAAATCTCCCTCCTTCCCACAGTACTGTCCTGGGAAGAAGCTGCCACATAGCTCCAGCCCGATCACTTCAACTGTGGGTGGATCAGGGCCATCTGAAAGAATAAGCATTAAACTGTGACATAGATAGATAAATGGATGCAGATGATAGTGTGAGAGAAACAGTCTGTATTCAATTCAGAAAATTCAGTAAATTACAGCCCTCGCCAGGCCCCACTGGGTCCCTGTCACACTAAACTCTGTACCCCATCACCCCCGCCCTCGCCAGGCCCCACTGGCTCCCTATCACACTAACTCTGTACCCCATCACCCCCGCCCTCGCCAGACCCCACTGGCTCCCTATCACACACTAAATTTCTGTACCCCATCACTCCGCCCTCGCCAGGCCCCACTGCTCCCTATGGCCGAACGGATTGATTTCAAGATCCTCTCACTTGTTTCAAATCCCTTCGTGCCCTGGCAGCTCCCTAACTCTCTCTCTGACCTGCTTAACACCCAACCCGCTGCCTCTGCTGGTCTGGCTCCAGGCTCCTTTTTTTCCTCATCCCCTCCACTCCACCATTGGTGACTGCACTTTCAGCCACTGCGGCCTCAAACTCTGAAGCATTCTTCCTCACTCCTTCTGCCATGCCCCTTCCCCATCTTTAGGTCGTGCCTGAAGACCTTCCTCTTCAACCACAAGTCGTGGATTGAGTGACCACATTATTATTGTCTTTTTAAATGTAATTTTGAACAACAACAACAAAATTATGTTGTTTAGAACCTTTCACGTTGGGAGGATGTCCCAAGGTGCTGGACAGACAGAGTTTCGGACCTGAGCTGGGGTTGGGGTGGGGAGGGTGGAGGGCGGGGGAGCAGGATCGAAAAGCACGGTCGAAGAGGAGGGTCTTGAGGTGGGTCTTGAAGGTGGCGAGGGAGGAGGTGAGATGGAGGGACTGTGGGATGGAGTTCCAGAAGGTGGGGGCAGAGAGGCGGAAGGCCGGCCCACTGAACGTGGAGCGAGCGAGGCGGGGGACATGAAGCAGGCCAGAGCCCACTGAGCGGAGGGAGCGAACAAGATGGTAGGAGGTCGGAGAGGTAGGGGAGAGGAAGACCATGGAGGGCTTTGAAGGTGAGGACCAGGATCTTGAACTGTATGCTGTGTGTGATGTGAAGCCAGTGGAGTCGGGCGAGGGTGGGGGATGGTGATGGGGTGACGGAGCTCTGGGGAAGGAAAGGACACGGGCTGCAGAATTAGTTCTGGGTGATCTGCAGCCTGTGGAGGGAGGAGTTGGAGAGGCCGACAAGCAAAGATGAAGAGTCGAGCCTCGAAGTAATGAAGGCATGTATGAGGGTCTTGGTGGCCTGCGGTGTGAGACAATGTCAGAGCTGGGCAACGTTGTGGAGGTGGGGGAAGGCAAAGCGAGTCATGGCACAAATAATAACAATAATCCTTGCAATTGATACAGACGTCTCAAAGCGCTTCACAGAATAGACTGTAAAGTGAATTGACTGTATATTTGTGGGCGAAATGTGGGATAGAAAGGAAAGTTGAGGTTCGAACAAGACTCCAAGGATCCGGACTGGCTTAGCAACGTTGAGTGTGTATCCATGGATGGTGACACTGTCAGTGTCTGAGGTGGGAGGGCTGACGGGAGCCAAACAGGAAGCCTCGGTCTGAAGTGATTATAGCACTGGAAAACCGATCCGCCAATTGTCTAACAACCAAGTTCCTCCTTAATGCTGGGTAAACAGAGGGGTGTATGTGTGTGGAGGAGGAAACTTACCTAAATATTCGTTTTGCCCAGGAATTGAACCCAGGTCCTCTCAGTTCTGAGGCGAGAGCTCTAACCATTACACTACAGGATCCCACTCTTTGTTCCTCTATTCACAGCATCAAACCCCAATGTAGAATATTCCAGCATTGCATTGGAGCTTCAGTCTGGACTACATGAGTTCCAAGTACTGACGTGAGGCCACAACCTTCTGACTTATAGAGAGCTGAGCCAGGCTGGAACAAGTAGGGATACGTGGGCCAACTGCACTGTCCTGTTCAGCTCACGTTGATCTGGTTTTAACACCACAGCAAATATACTCACAAGTTATCACCAGCTTCACTGGTTTGCTGCTGTCACTGCTCACCAGGTTACTGGCCGTGCAGATAAACCCTCCACTGTCGCTCCTGTGTACGGGGCTGATTGTCAGAGTGCTATTATCTGCAGACAGTGTGTAACGTGGGGTTACAGGTAACGGGTGTCCACCCAGTGCCCAGGAATAGGTGGGGAACGATCCCATCGCTGTACATCTCAGTGTCACTGTGTCTTATTCTCTATCATCATCTCCCCGTCTGGACTCAGGCTGATGCTCACATTGGACACCAGGGCTGTAAGATAAAGCGTTTCATTTCATTCAGACACAAAGCTTAACACAAAGCTGTTCTGATTCACTTTACTAACACTGCACTGCATTTCCGACACTATTAGTGTTATTATTATTCACCCTTAAATCAGACATCAAGTGCTCTGGGACGCTATCCTGCGTGAGGGGGGCTATATCAATGTAAGCTGTTGTTGTTATAATAATAAATCTTGCATTTCATATAACCTTATCACGTCTTCGAGGCGTCTCAAAGAGCTTCACAGGATATGCTGTAAAGTGCAGTGACTGTATTTTGTGGGCGAAACGCGGCAGCCATTGAGCCAGCGACATCCCCACAAACAGTCATGGATTGAGTGACCAAATTATTATTATTGTTTTATTTATTTTGACGGGAATTATTACCGCTGGAAAAGTGATCCACCAATCAACTAACAACTGGGTACTTACTGCTGATGAGGGGGCGTGGGTGTGGAGTAAGGAAAATTGCCCATGTTTCGCCCTGACCCACCGGGAATCAAACCCCTCACTTGCGAGGCCAGTGCTCTAACCCCTGAGCTACAGGTCTCCGTACATAGTATGCAGTTCTGTAGTTAGCAGCATTGTTATACCGTAGTTATGCGCTCAACACTCTGGGCCAAGAAAAGTAAAAATTTGTTGTGGGCGATTTGGGCATTTTTGACAAATTTTGCAGAAAATGGCGGAGTTGATCGGGGATATTGATGAACATGTTTTCACTTTATTGATATAAACTAGACATGAGGAAATAGGAGGACATATTACATTGTTGGGGAAAAATATAATTGCTTCTTTAACAAGGACTGGGTGGCTTTTTTGGGGCGTTTGGGGGAGAGAGAAACACACACTCAGAAACACAGAGACATACACACAGACCAGAGGGAAACTCACACACTCACAGAGAGACAAACATGCACAAACACAGAGAGACACACACACACTCACAGACTCACAGAGACACACACTCTCACAGATACAGAGAGAGATACATACATTTATATAGCGCCTTTCATGTCGGGAGGATGTCCCATAGATAGAGACACACTCACAACACAGAGAGACACTCACAAACACATAGAGAGACACACACAGGCACACCCACAAACACACAGAGACGGAGACACAGACACACAAATACACACAGACACTCACAAACAGAGATACGCAGACACTCACAAACAGAGAGACACAGAGACTCGCAAACAGAGATACAGACATACAGAGACACATACAGACACTCACAGAGAGATACACAGACACATAAAGATACCCAGACACTCACAAACAAGGGATCCACAGACACACAGAGGCACACAGACACACACAAACAGACATACACACACACAAACACATGGACACTCACAAACAGAGAGATACAGACACACAACACACAGACACTCACGGAGAGATACACAGATACTCAGACACTCACAGAGACACACAGAGACACACACACAGACACAGACACTCACAAACATACACACGCACACAGAGGCATGCAAACACACTCACAAACTGAGAGAGAGACACACGCAGACACTCACAATCAGAGACACAGATCCACAAAGAGACACTTACAAACAGAGAGACACACACACTCTCACACACACTCCCTCTCACACACCCTCTCTCACACACCCACACTCACACACACAGACTCACACTCACACACACACAGACAGACACAGACAATCACAACAGCGGTGAATCCTCGTGAAGCCCGTTTGCCACTTGCGTGTCCGGAGCCGAGCGCCCCACAGTGACGTCAGGGAACCGAGGGCCGGAAAGTACATTATTGATTATAGTGGGTTCCGCAAGAAAGGGGCGCACTTTTCTATTGGTCCAGCTCACCTTGTATGGTTAGGGCCACTGGTTTGCTGCTGTCACTGCTCACCGGGTTACTGGCCGTGCAGATAAACCCTCCACTGTCGTTCCTGTGTACGGGGCTGATTGTCAGAGTGCTATTATCTGCAGACAGTGTGTAACGTGGGGTTACAGGTAACGGGTTTCCATCCAGTGCCCAGGAATAGGTGGGGAACGATCCCATCGCTGTACATCTTAGTGTCACTGTGTCTTTATTCTCGATAAATATCTCCTTGTCTGGACTCAGGCTGATGCTCACATTGGACAGCAGAGCTGTAAGATAACGCGTTTCATTTCATTCAGAAACTTGTTCAGATTCACTTCACTGACACAAACTTGTTCAGAGTCACTTTGCTGAACCCTACACTTTATTTCTGACGCTGTTTGTTATGATTCACTGTTTATTCAGGTCTCAGTCTGGCTCATTTGGTAGCACAATTTTATGGTTTAAAGCCCCACTTTGGGAGCTCACAGTCCAGGTTTATTGGCTGAATGAATGAAATGAAATGGCCCGGGGGCCGGATGCGGCCCGTGGGCCACCAGTTGGCCCACCCTGCTCTCACCGATGCTCTGAAGCAGGGTGG